GTATTGTTTGCTTTAATAAAATATATTTTAGCGTTTGTACATATCCTCTCTATACGTGTAAGCTGTAATGGTAATATAATATTCATTTTAAAAATTTATTGTATAAACGCAATAGAGAAAAACTTTTAAATCACAGCAAGTTACGGCATATAAAATTGAGTTACGGCACATATAAAAGTTATACTATAAACAATTATATTAGTAAATATGCAAGTTATAGCATACCGTAATTTAAAGCAAAAAGTTAGAACTGGTTATAAATCAGTTACGGCACAGCTTATCCCAATGCTTGAAGTTCCGCCTGTATCACTAGTTCATACATGCCTGATACTTGGTACGTACGTACTTATGTATGTATATGCATACGTACGTACGCACATAAGTGTATGTGGATGTAATGAATGTAAATGCTTAAGAAATTTGTAAAAATTTTTGTTAAACCCAAAATTTTTAAAGAATATGGAATATAATATACGTTCTAATGACAATAACACGAATGAAGCTATCATCACTGCCTTAGAAGATTTGGATAATACATTTTATATAGAATATTTAGACTCTGAAAGTAATGAAGAATCTAATTTTTCATCAGATATTGAACCAATATCCGACATTGATGATGATATTCCTTTAAGTTTATTAAATGAATTCGATTTTGTAGACGTACCTGATAATTACATTGAAGATAAAGTTTATGATGAATTAAAATTAAGTGTTCAAAAATTTTTTGAAAAAGGCAAGTGTTCGTGTCATTCCAAACAATTATGCTTTGAGTAGATCGGATATGAAAAGTTTCTTGCACGTCAGACTGAATTTGAAAGCCTAGATAAAAATATGCGTGATATGGTGATAAAGGAGCAACTTATGGCCTTTCAAAAAAGTGAAAATACAAGAAAAGTTACTAAGAAAGATAGAAAATATTTGCATTTTGGTTACCATTATAACAATGATATTTTAGTCTGCCGTGATACATATTTGGCCCTTATGGGAGTTAGTCATAAATATTTAGAAAGTATAAAACATTTACAAGAACATGGTCTTGAGGAACGTATACACGGCAATACTGGTAGAGCTCCAAAAAACATGAAACAGATTGAAGTTAATTATGAAGTAGCATGCAATATTCTCAGATTTTTAAAAAATTATTCCAATATACATGGTATGCCTTCACCTGGACAACATTTTAACCAAATTTCCATGCCGATTATATTTCTTCCAACTAATTTTAGTTATGCGTCCATATATCGTGATTATGTGCAAGCTTACAAAGATAAGTATGGGAATAATATTCGTGTTATGTCTAAAACAACCTTTATTAGTATTTGGAAAATTTTAATACCTTCGCTTCAATTTATGTCTCTAAAATCCGACCTATGCGAAACTTGTGAAATAATAAAAATGGATATTCAACATGCTATGCAACATGAAAAAAAAATAGAACTTACCAATAATTATTTAGCTCATTTAAATCGTGCACAAAAAGAACGTGATTATTATAATGCTAACATTAAGAATGCAATTGAAGATGGTAAAAAAAATAAAAATATAGTTGGTTCTCAAGCATTTAAGACCTTTAAAGGTAGTATACATATCGCATACGATTGGGCTCAGAATGTGCAAATCCCTTACTCACCGCAGCAAATAGGCTCTTTATATTTTAAAAGTTCACGAAAGGTGCATTTGTTTGGAGTTTGTAATACTGGTAATTTTCTGCATACACAGCAGACCAATTATGTAATTGATGAAGCCGAAATGCCTGATGATAGTAAGCAAGGTAAAGGTGTAAATTCTACTTTAAGTTTAGTTTGGCACGCAGTTCAAAAATACAATCGTGGAGAAAGCAAATTGGTTATTACATACGATAATTGTATGGGCCAAAATAAGAATAATTATTCATTATTTTTTTATTCATGGTTAATTGATCGTAATATGTATGATGAAATTTTATGATACTTGGACATACAAAATTTATCTGTTATGGTTGCTTTGGACTAATTAAGATTCTCTACCGAAAAAGCAAAGTAAATACTGTAGACGATGTAGTTTCAATTATTAATTGTTCTACTTCAATTAATTTTAGGGGAAATTACATATTGGAGCCCAAATTTGAAAATAATTATGAATAAGGGCCTAACTTAAAAATATTTATTTATAAGGGCCTAATTTTTGAAAAAATTACAAATAAGGGCCCAAGTAATTTTG